GAGCCGGCCCAAGACACTCCTGAATCCCAGGGAATGGATGCCCCTCAAACATAACTGAGGGCTGAAAAATCAGTCACACGAAAGACCGAATCAGTGACAATGGGCTCAACTGCCAGTCGAAATACAGTGCAACCCACAGACGCACCAACTGCAAAGTGGAGAAGTCTTGAGGACGTCCTCACCTCTGACTAGAGCCTGACCCCACAAGTGCCTGCTTGCAAGTCTCCAAGGCCACCTGCAGGTGTGACAATGTCCAGAAGAGCTCACTGTTGCGCTCAAGGTTATGCTTTATTACAGGTGAGAGAGAGGACAGAGGACCATTAATCTTTGAAGTCCAGGTAACAAGAGACCAGTCTTTTTGTTGTTGTTGTTTTTTGGTTTTTTGTTTGTTTGTTTGTTTGAGACAGGGTCTCACTATGTAGTTGAGACTGACCTGGAACTCACTGTGTAGCCCAGGCTGGTCTCAAACTCACAGCGATCCTCCTGCCTCAGCCTCCCGAGTGCTGGGATTACAGGCGTGCGCCACCACACCCGGCTTACCAGTCTTGAATTATCCCCACAGAACAAAAGCAGAAGAACCGATATTTCGCCAAATTTTTGTAATTCACCAATTTATACTGCCAACGTGTATGTTTATGTGTTAATGTGTGCATTTCTCTGCAGTCACAGTAGGACAGAGATTTTCTGTTTCCCTGAGATTCTTTTCCCCGGTAGCATTCTTAAGGCTAAGCCCTGGAATGCCACCTGTCATCCCTGATACAATAACCACAGATGTGGGAAGTTTAGTCACACACACACACACACACACACACACACACGCACACACACACACACACACAAGTAAAGGACAGTAAGAAACAAAACACACCGCACAGACTTTTTAGCAAATGCAATGCAAAATTAGAACGTTTTCCCCTGAAATTCACCTCTTTCCAAATCTATCCGTTAAATGCCTGCTGCATTTAGTGAAAACTGAGCGACCAGAGACACCCTTGGAAGGGGACAGGCCCCGGGTGGGAGAGAGCGGGGTCAGGCCGGGCAGCACCTCCCACCACCGGTTCCCCAAGCCGCCCCGAACGCCCTGCTAGGGACACTGGCTCGCGTTCCCGCTGACGCTCAAGAGCATTTTGCTTTGCAGGTTTGATGTTCGTTTTTCTCTGCCTTCTGTGAGACCCCAAGGGAGCAAGGATCATTCTGCGGTGACTCCGGGAAAGATGCTCTCTGGACACCGTGGGGAGCAGCGGGGAGCGGACACTGTCATCCCCTCTCGGTCGTCCTCTCCCCTGCCCAGGCTAGCCAAGGACACCCCTGCAGCAGGGACGCCAGGGCTGCACCCACTCGGACCCGCCCAGCCCCCCAGCCCCCGCATTCCCCACCTGCTCAGGAGCTCCTCCCTGCGACCCTGCGTCTTTTGGGTGCAGTGGCGCCCCACCCTCGATCTTTCATTGGGCAGTGCTTGGCAACAGCAGTGCCACCCTCGATCTTTCATTGGGCAGTGCTTGGAACGGCGGCGCCCGTGATTGGTCAGTTCTCCCTTTTTTTTGTATCGGGAATAGAACTCAGGTCCTTGTGCTTGCGAGGCAGGCGGCGGAACCACCGAGCTAAATCCCAGGCCCCTGGACAGTTCTCCTAAGAAGGTAAATTCTGAGAAGGTAATCTTAGAGTCAGTTTTTTATACATTTCACATTTGAATCAGTATCAATAGCTGAAAATTTAAGCCCTAAAATCTATCTCATTAATGCCACAAACAATAGAAAAATACAAGGTGTTAGTAATAATGAGAAAGAGAAATAATTATAGTGGGAAATGTGAGCACAGAAGAGCAAAAAAACTTTTTCTTAACAGAAAAATACCTGAAGCTGTATACACCTGGTGACGCTTATTTGGAACAGATGATAGTGCTTACACTAACGAAAAGACAAAGTGGATGTCAAACTTGTAATTAATAATTATCTCAAAAATTGAAAATCAGAGAGACCACGATTTTAGTGCCACCTTGTTTTTGGACATTTGGCGTCCAGAACTGAGACAGAAACATCCTGTTGTTCTAAGCTACCCAGGGTTTGCATTTCAGTATGGTAACTCTAGGAAACTAAAACAGTTCCTCTAGAGCTGATCTGAAAAACACAAGAGATTGTCTGTTTCTAAGAACTAGTTATAGGTTTCCATTTTAAAATGCACAAAATGTTGGGCATGGTGGTGCAGACCTGCATTCCCAGTGTTAAGGAGACTGAGGCAGGAGAATCTCTGCAAGTTTGAGGCCAGCCTGGCCCTGTAAGTTCAAGGCAACCTGAACTACATAGTGAGACCCGGTCTGGAAAAAAAAAAAAAAAAAAGAGCAAAAAATTGTATACAGAATAATTAAATCCATTTAAGAAACGTCATCCAGCTCTCCCAAATCTAATATGGGAGGTGTTCTCACATACAAGGACAGGGATAGCACACTTAAAAAAGCAATAAGGTTGGACATGGTGACATATGTCTGTAATTCCAGCACTCTGGGAGACTCAGGCAGAATCCCAAGGTCAAGCCTAGCCTGGGCACCTCAGTGACTTAGTAAGACCCTGTCTCTAAATAAAGAAGAGCTGAGGATGAAGGTCGGTGTGAATGCCCTGGATTCAATCCCCAGAATTACAAAAGAAGAAAAAAAGTGTAACCTCAGCTACTTACTCATGAGAGCCAGAAAAGTCACAAGTTCCAGCCCAACGTGGGCAACACAATGAGACCCTGTCTCAAAATATAAAAAAGAGTGGGGGATACAGCTCAGTGTGAAGCCCTGGGTTCAATCCCCAGTATTGGGAAAAATAGAAACAATCTTGTGTGTTCTTTTTCTTTCTGTTGTTGTTTTTTTGACACAGTGTCTCGCTCTGTAGCCCAGACTGGCCTTGGATTTAAGAGTAATCCTCCTGCCTCAGCCTCCCAAGTGCTGGGATTACAGGTGTGTGCCACCATGCTTGGCTGTTTATCTTTGTTTGTTTATTTGTTTGTTTTTTGGTGGTACCAGGGATTGAATTTTGACCCTTCCACTTGCAAGGCAGGTGGCAGAACCACTGTGCCAAATCCCTGGCCCTTGGCTGTTTTTCTTGTTTGGCTAAAACACTACAGTTTTTTTTTTTTTTTTCTGCTGGAATCAGGACCACATGGCCACTAGAAACTTGATGGCAAACCTACAGCATGGAGAGCCCTCTCTGATTTCACAAGTTGTTTTTCTAAACTAAAACCTCAGTATTTGGGTTTCATTGCAGTGTTGGCACTTTGTGATAAGTAAGTGGGTTTTAGGTTGCAGTTTGGGTACTGGTCTCTGAAAGTTTCACCATCACTGCAGTGGAGTAGTAAGAGAGCAGGCGTCGTGGGGCACACCTGTAATCCCAGCACTTGGGAGGCTGAGGCAGGAGGATCACAGTGAGTTTGAGGCCAGCCAGGGCTACATAGTTCAGGGCCAACCTCAACTACAAAGCGAGACCCTGTCTCAAAAAAAAAAAAAAAAAGTAGTAAGAGAATATAAATCAGGCCTCATCTAAGAACACTGTATTAAGATCTAGAAAAGCGGGGAACCAGTACGTGAGAGGTTGCAAGCCATGAAGACTAGAGTTTGTGTTCTGGGGCCCATGTAGGATGTTAGAAAAATCCAAATTCTGGGTTCCAGACCACTCGGTGCACCCTCGACACAAGATTATGGGGTTGTCTATGAGGCCTACACTCTAACGAAATGGAGATCAAGCACTTGGTCTTTGTTTTGATGACGCAGGCACAACATCCAGGAAATAAGCTAAAGGCTGGTGTCCCCCAGGCTGCTATACATTGTCTGTCTCCGTTTACTGAGTCCCTAAAATTCAGTTATGAGCTTCTTCATTTTCCTTCAAAGTCTCATGCAATTTACGCTACTGGTAAATCCTAACATGAAACCATAAAGGGAAAGAATTCTTCCAAATTTGGTTGCTATAACATCCATGTTCGGTTTGGTGATGCACATCTGTAATCTCAACACTAGGGAGGCTGAGGCAGGAGAATCACCACAAGTCTGGCATCAGCCTGGACTAGTGAGTTCAAGACAGACTGAACTATGTAGTAAGACCCTGTCTTAAAAACAGACAGAGGGGCTGGGGATTTAGCTCAATAGTTCTACCTCCTGCCTCATAAGCGAAAGGTCCTGAGTTTGATCCCTGGTACCAAAAAAAAAAAAAAAAAAAAAAAAAAAAAAAAAAAGAAAGAAAGAAAGAAAGAAATTAAATCCACTTATATACTAAAAAAATACACTTCTAGGTCAGGGATTTAGCTCAGTGGTGCTGCTCCCGCCTCACAAGTGCGAGATCCCGAGTTTGATCCCAGTACAAAACAGCCGGGCCTGGTGGCGCACACCTGTAATCCCAGCACTCAGGAGGTTGAGGCAGGAGGATCCTTGTGAGTTGAAGACCAACTTGGGCTACATAGTGATTTCCAGATCAGTCTCAACTACATAGTGAGACCCTGTCTCAAAATCAAAACAAAATAATTACAACAACTCGGTGGCCTGCCTTGCAAGCGCAAGGACCCGAGTTCAATCCCAGGTACCAAAAAAAACCAAACCCAAACGAAAACAATTACAACAACAAACAAAACAAAACAAACACTTCAAATCATCCACACACCCAACAAGCTGTAAAGTGTCATTTATTGAATTGTAAGGAAAAAATGTATTTTGAGTTTATTATTATTTGTTTGAGCTAGGTCTCAGTATGTAGTCCAGGATGGCCTTGACACATTTACTACAGGGCCATAATGTATACATCCGGCTGCCAAGTGGTCCTTAACCTCCAGTAGTATACGACTGTCCCATCAGGCAACATGACACGGTCCCATTCGGTGGTACAGGCTGCCCAATGGACAGTCACGTGCCCACCACCAGTGGTGCACGTTGGAAGGGATGTGTTAAACTCACTATGCAGCCCACACTGGCCTTGCCATCGTGACCTCTCTGCTTCCTTCTCAGTACTGGGATTACAGGTGCGTACCATCCTCTCTAGCCTCAGAGAACTATTTTTTTCCTTAAACGTTTATTTGGAAATCAAACCTCAGATTCCTCCTGTGTCCACCGTGACGCTGAGGTACTCATCAGGGCAAGGCCATATTTACCATTTTTAGAAGGTTGCTGTCCTGGGGTGCATTTTCTGGAACACTGTACACGAATTCACTCTTAGGAGGGTTCCCACATCACAAGAATATTGCTTCTCTGCAGGGTGTATCTTCTTGTGTCTACTTAGCGATTCTTAGTGTAGGCCTTCCCACATGGCTGACACTGATATGGTTCCTCTCCAGTGTGCCGTCTCGTGTGCACCGGTAGAGATGACGGCCATGTGAAGACTTTCCCACATTCCTTACATTCACAGGGCTTCTCGACAGTGCGGGTTCTCATGTGTTGCTGTACGAGCTCAGGCCCACGGAAGGCTTTGCCACATTCCTTGCCTTTGTGGAGTTTCTCTGCAGCGTGTCTTTGCATGTGCTTTTGTAATGATATATGGCACTAAAAAGCTTTCCCACAAAGCTTACCCTGACAGGACTGGCCCTCAGGGTGCCTTCTGACTTGGTCCTGGAAGCAAGCTGACAAACCCAAGGCTTTCCCATGCTGGATGCATCAATAGGGTTTCTCTCCAGTATGGATCCTCTCATGCCTGTGAAAGGACTGAGGACCCATGAAGGTTTTCCCACACTGTTCACACCCTGTGGTTTCTCTCTGGTGTGTGTGATCAGGTGCCTTCTAAATGCTGAGGGGTAACTGAAGGCTGCTCCACACTTGGCACCTGTGTGGCTTCTCCCCAGTGTGTGTTACCGTGCTGAGGACTAGCCGAAGGCCTTTCCGCATTCTGTGCGTGTATACGGCTTCTCTGCAGTATGACTTCTCGGGTGGCTCCGGAGACTTGAGAAGTCAGTGAAGGCTTTCCCACAGTGCTGGTGACTGTCGTTTTGCTCTGCAGTGTGAGTCCTCGCACGACGATGCACGGAGGAGGACCGAGGGGAGGTTTCCTCACATAACTCACATGCGTAGTAAGGTCTGTCTCCACTCTGGGCTCTCACGTGTGCGCTCAAATGTGAACGGCAGCTACAGGCCTGTCCACATTCCTGACACTGGTGCGGCTTGTGTCCGGTGTGAGCGGTGATGTGGCCCGTGGGACACAAATGTTCCATGAATTTCCCATGCTGTTTTGACCCAGTAGTGATTTTCTTGTGTAGATTAAGATTTGGAATCTGGCAGAAGGCTTCTGTGCCTCGGCCATTACGTCCACAGAATCTCTCCACTGTCTCATTTCTGTTAAAGGTGAGGTGCATGAAATTAATGCTTTGATTAACAAGGATTTACTAATATTTATTCATAACTATTAAAATTACTTTTTATATTTATTTATTTATGGCATCAGAGATCAAACTCTGGGTCCTTGTGCTTGCAAGGCAGAAAGTGGAACCACTGAGCTAAATCCCCTGCCCAAAATTACTTTTTTTGTTTTTTTTTTGAGACAGGGTCTCGCTATGTAGTTGAGACTGACCTGGAACTCACTGTGTAGCCCAGGCTGGTCTCGAACTCACAGTAATGCTCCTGCCTCAGCCTCCTGAGTGCTGGGATTACAGGCCTGCGCCACCATGCCTGGCACCAAAATTACTTTTTAAAAGGAAAGGACAAGGGCCAGGGATTTAGCTCAGTGGTTCTGCCACCTGCCTCACAAGCGCAAGGGCTTGAGTTAAATCCCCAGTACCAAAAAAAAAAAAAAAAAAAAAAAAAAAAAAAAAAAATAGAAGGAAAAAATGGAAAAAAAGCTTTTGTACATAGGGAGGGGAGGGCGGTGAGGGGGGAGGGGGATAAAATAAAATAAAATTTATTAATAAAAAATTTAAAAAATAAAATTACTTTTTAATTATTTTCAGTAAAGGGGCAGGTTTCCTATGCTAACTGAATTATATGCAATAAAATAAATGTTCAAGGGCCAAGGATGTATTTCAGTGGCACCGTGCTGGCCTGTCAAACATGAGGTCATGGGTTTGATCCCCAGTACTGCAAAAAAGTTAAATTAAATTAAAATCAAAATTAAAAATTTACTCATTGTCATTATTAAAACATTACTTTCGATATAAGAAGTTTCATTTCATCTTTCTTTCTTTCCTTCTCTATTTCTTGCTTTCTCTTTCTTTTTTTTTAGTAGTGCAAGGAATAGAATCCAGTCACACTGTATATGTATGTGTAACAGCAAGAAGCCACATATACGTCGTAGCCACAGAAATTTGAGGTTCAGATCCACATGAACAGAGAGGAGGTATAGAATGTTTTTGAAAAGATGAAAGTACGTTTATTATAAAAGTACAGCAGAGGCTGGGCGTGGTGCCTGTAATCCCAGCACTCCGGAGGCTGAAGCAGGAGGATCGCTGTGAGTTCGAGACCAGCCTGGGCTACACAGTGAGTTCCAGGTCAGTCTCGACTACATACTGAGACCCTGTCTCAAACCCCCCGCAAAAAAAGTACAGCAGATATGAACACAGTCAAATAATACATTATTACACAACAAAGCAGGGGACAGCACCAAAGATGAAAGATCTTGTATGAGATGGAGCCTTGAGCAGGTGGGAGAGAAAACACCACACTATATCCAGTTTATTAGTTTCCTAAGTACTGTGTTCAGACAAAAGTGACTTGGTGCCCTCAAGGGTATCTGTAAATAACATTTTCTTGGGCTGGGGATTTAGCTCAGTGGTTCTGCCACCTGCCTTGTAAGCACAAGGACCTGAGTTCAATCCCCGGTACTCCCCCCAAAAATAACATTTTCTTTCCCAAGGGAAATATTTTTCTATGAGAAATGGCATGCAGTTAGGCAGAACTCTCGAACACATTGGCAATCCGCAGTAGCACGGGAACTAGCACATATAATCAACAACTGGGATCTCTAATCTTACTAAAAAGCTTCTGCACTGCAAAAGAAACCACCAACAAAGCTAAGAGAAAACCTACAATGTGGGAAAAAATGTTTACCAGCTGCTCCTCAGACAGAGGACTATTATCTAGAAGATATAAAGAACTCAGAAAGACCCTATTCATGGGCCGGGGATTTAGCTCAGTGGTTCTGGTGCCTGCCTTGCAAGTACAAGGACCCAAGTTTGATCCCCGGTACCAAGACCCTATTCAAAAATGGGCACCTGAAATGAACAGATATTTCTCAGACAAAGAAGTAAAAGCAGCAAATAAATACATGAAAAAAAGAGATGCAGATGAAAACAACACTGAGATTCCACCTCACTCCAGAAAGAATGGCTGCTATCAAGAAATCACACAATAACAAATGTTGGCGGGGTTGTGGGGAGAAAGGAACTCTTCTCCATTGTTGGTGGGAGTGCAGACTGGTGCAACCACTGTGTAAATCAATAGGGAGAGACCTCAAAGAACTAGGATTAGAGGTTCCATTTGACCCAGCCATCCCTCTGCTGGGTATCTTTCCAAAAGAATTAAAAGAATCATACCACAGTGATATACGCACACCCATGTTTATAGCGGCACAGTTTGTAATAGCTAAAACTTGGAAACAGCCTTGTTGCCCATCAGTTGGAGACTGGCTAAAGAATATGTGGTTTTGCTATAAAATGGAGTACTACTCAGCCATGAAGAATGAGAAACTAGAGCCGGGCATGGTGGCGCACACCTGTAATCCCAGCACTCAGGAGGCTGAGGCAGGAGGAGCTCTGTGAGTTTGATACCAACCTGGGCTACATAGTGAGTTCCAGGTCAGTCTCGACTACATAATGAGACCCTGTGTCAAAAAAACAAAAACAAACAAAGAATGAGAAACTAGAGTCATTCATAGGAAAATGGATGCATATTGAGGCCATACCCTTAAGCGAAATCCTCCGGAATAGCTGAGATCAGAGACAAATAGTACTGCACTTGGTGGAATTTCTTGATAATCATTTTCAATTCAATTATGTTTCTAACACTCCACATCTAAGTCACATTTAAAGAAACACTCGTTGCAAAAATTCTGTGAGTAGCAGGGTGTGGTAGAGTACAACCATCCTCCCAGCTCCTTGGGTGGCTGAGGCAGGAGGATTGCAAGGCCAGTCTGGACAACTTGCTGAGACACTGTCTCAAAATGAAGTTTTGAAAAGCAGCGTGGCGTAGTGGTAAAGCAATTACCTAGTATGTGGAGCCCCTGGGTTTAATCCTCACTGAATCCCAGTCCCCCTGCTTTTTTTTTTTTTTTTTTGTTTTTTTTTTTTTTTTTTTTTTTTTTTTTTTTTTTTTGGTTTGTTTTTTTTTTTGTTTTGTTTTTTCTTTTTTGAGACAGGGTCTCACTATGTAGTTGAGACTGACCTGGAACTCACTATATAGCCCAGGCTGGTCTCTAACTCCCAGCGATCCTCCTGCCTCAGCCTCCCGAGTGCTGGGATTACAGGGATGCGCCACCACACCCAGCCGCCAGCCCGCCTGCTTTCTTTTGGTACCGGGGATCGAACTCAGGTCCTTCCGCTTGTGAGGCAGGTGGCAGAACCACTGAGCTAAATCCCCGGTCGTGAATCCCTATTTTTAAAAATTAGTATATAAATTCACAGCTGGGATTCTTTTGTTTTCTAGCTATTTCAATTTCATGCCATGTCTGTCTTGGAAAGCTGCTTTCTCTTGTTCTAATGTGACTTACCTTAGATTTCTCCCCTGGCTTGCATGCTTGGGAGCAGGGGCCCAAGAATCATTTTTGGTGAATTTTGCTATTTCTGGTTTCCTAGGTATTTTTTCTCCATAAATATCCCACTGAGAAACTGAATCGCTGGCTTTAAATTGACTTTCATCATCTGAAACCAAAAAGCAAACGCGTCTTAAAAGCAAGAACTACCTGTTAGTAGAAAATAAAAATGAAGGTGTCACCCGTCTCTCTTAGACAGAACTTTCTTTCCCTCAGTAAAATTTTCCTACTCTTTAAAACAAAAAAGAAAAGAAAATTAAAAAGGGACGGGCACTGGGGATTTAGCTCAGTGGTGCTGCCGCCTGCTTTGCAAGTGCAAGATCCTGAGTTCAATTCCCGCTACCAAACCAAACCAAACCAAACAACAACAAAAAGACACAGGGAGTTTCTCTGTTTCAGGACTTGATCAACCAGACGTCGCCAAGGGAGATTTCCTTGCAGAACGAAACAAACTCAGTTTCATGGATTTTCATTCTCATAGAACTGTTGGGATTCTAACTCCACGGGCACAGCGACCAGGTCTGGCTCATTTCCGTTTAATACTCGATATCTGTATGTTCCCTTCTCCATTCTGTGCAGGCTACAGGTGTGAGAGCTGCTCTCTGTCGAAATGACCAGTGAAGAAAGGAGTCACCCTGACCGGTGGAGGCCAGGTTCCAGGATGTCTCCAGCATCACTTCTCTGTAGAGGTCCCTCTGTGCAGAATCCAGCAAAGCCCACTCCTCCTGGGTGAAGTGCACAGCCGCATCCTCAAAGACCACTGAGTCCTAGAACAGCCAGCAAATGTGCAGGAGGAAGGTTGCGTTTGGCCCCACAGGGCCACCATACTTGATTGACACACAGTTCAACAAAGATCCTGGGGCCTCCCAACAACCAACTTCTGACTCGGTCATCAGGCCTCCTCCTGTTTACCTGTGTCCTT